CTTAGCAAGATAAGCTTTATACTACAATCTTGCTAGTATTACAGCGCTTAAGTTAGTTAGCGCTAGGTTGTTGCAGAGCACTTAGATTAGTGCTTAGAGGGTTACTCTTCCTTAATTAATAAGCTCTATATAGGCTAGGGTAAGGATCCCTTAATCTACTATATTATTAACCTATATAAAGAGGTTCTAGATTACTAATAACTTTAATACCTAATCTAATAAGCAGGCTTAGTACTAAGCTATTTAGAGCTTATACTGCTTGCTTGTTATATTAGATAGCGCGATATCTGTTAGCATATTAGGCTTAATAGGTTTATTTTTAAAGTAGTTTTTAGCATCTAGAGCCTTAGGGTCTACCTCTACCTAGATCCCTTTAGTTAGGGCATGGTATCTAAATTAAATATACTAGGTAGGCTAGTTAGTTAATCTAGTAAGTAGGATATCCCCCTTTAGGATTTAGTTACTTATAGTAGAAGAGTAATAAGTAAGCTTCTACTTAAGAAATAGTATAAAGAGTAAAGCTTGCTAGCTTAGTGTCTAAGTTAAATAATACGCTTAAATAGATAGGATAATCTTTAATAAGGTAAAGCGCGAACTAGGCTTATAACTATAGAAATTTAGATTACTAAGGTTAGGAATAATTTAGGAGATAGATTATTAGATTATATCTACTACGATCGTACTTATATATATAGAGCTTTAGCTACCCTTACTAGAAGGTGAATAATTAGTAAACCTTCCTTACTAGAGCTCCTGCTTTTTGTTAGGCACTTAGCAGTAAGCTAGCAGTTGATTAGATAGTGGGTCATACAGGGGTATTAATCGGGATTAATCGGGATCAAGATGCTCTGTGATCTAGTTAATATCCCTCCTGCAACACTATATTTATAGACTAACCCTACCTTATATAAAAAGTAGCTATCTCTTTCTTAAGTTTAAACTATACCTTTTATAATTTAAATAGTGCCTTTTTCTATATAAGTTCTTCCTTATCTACCTCTAGCTTTTCTTTTCTCTCCTTTAGAGCCTAATTACTAAGAAGAGCCTTTTATTATAAAGTTTATAGTTATAGACTAATAATAAGTTAGGAATGTATTATAAACGTGTTTTGCAAAGCATACCTTTAGGTTACTATTAGTAGAGGAGAAGAGCCTAGTAGTAGAGAAGATAGAAAAGGGGCTAGTAAACTTCTTTCTAATACTGCTCTACTACTTGCCCTCTAGCTTTAGGCTTTTAAGCATACTCTTTTATTTCTTATTAGGACTAAGATATATCTAGTTAAGTTAGATATAGCAAGACTTGCTTTATTATTATTTAGAGTATTATTATTATTATAAGATATATTCTAAATATATTCTAAACACGTTTTAATTAGTAAATATATATAATACTAGTATAAGACTTACTTTCTCCCCTCTAAAGCTTTTTAAGGTACCTTTGCTTAAGCCTATTAGGAGTTCTATAGTTATAGCATATTCTAAACTTGCTCTAGGCTTTAAACTCTTTTATATCCTATAGATCTATCTAGTATGCACTATATAATATTACTTATATAATTCTAATAGGTTAAGAATAGGTTATAAACTTACTTCTAAGTAGCCTTAAGAATACTTACATGCTTACTAGTTTTATATCCTTTCTAGCCTACTTGCTTAGCTATATTTAAATAAGATTCTAGTTTTTCCTATACCTCTTTTAATATTTTACTATAGTATTATATAATCCTAGTAGTAATTACTAGGTTTTTCTTATAGATTGCCTAGTTTTAGGCATCTTTAGAGGGTTTGTGTTCTAATTATATAAGAACAAGTTAGGAACACGTTTAGAATAGGTTTAGAATATATTTACTTATATAAAAGGAGGTTAGCAAGCTAAAAGTATTCCTCTACTATTAATACCTATAGTAATTTACTTAGACGTAAAGAGGTAGTATTATCTAGCTCTCTTTTATATACTTTATAAATACTTCTTTATAGATATACTTAACAAAATCTTATACAAGATTAAAGTTGCTAGTGCTAGTTATACTTATAGGGATTAATTAACTAGAGATAGCGCCTAAGTCCTAGAAACAAGTTAGAAACACGTTATGAATAGGTTATAGTGCGCTATAAAACTTGCCTATTATCTACTTGTTATATATATTAATAGTAGTCCTATAGAATCTCTATAAGTAAATATGCCTCTATAATACTTATCTTTTTATAAGTGCTTTACACTTCTAAAAGAAGTTAGTAATAGTAACTTAATATATCTTAGTTATATCCTTATCTATAATAATTTAGCTAAGTATAATAACTATAATATATTAGAAACATGTTATAAACCTGTTCTTAATGCGTACGCTTCTTTTCCTGCAGGTAGAAGATTACTATTAGAATCTCTACCTATACCCTATATAACCTCTTATATAATATATCTATCTAGAATATATCTTAATCTAATAGAATTAATACCTACTCTTTAAAAAGGTAAATAATTAAGTTACCTAAGCTTAATATAAAGATTTGCTATATATACACCTATAGTAATATATTAGTAATATATTCTAAACCTGTTCTCTTATACTATATATAGTTTTAGGATCCTAATACTTTATCCTCTACTTATAGTATACTCCTCTAAGGCTACTCTTAAATAGGAACTATAGAAGCTTTTTACGCTTTATAATACGTAAGATTTTATCTTTATTTGCAAAGCTAATATATATTTCTTTAATAGAATAGAAACCTTTAAGTTAGAGATAGGTTTAGAGCTAGGTTAAGTTTAGGAACTAGGCTATAATAAGTTAGGAATATATTTATAATAGGTTATAAACAACTTATATTATATAAGCTATAGAGTAAGCATAGGCTATAATACCTTTACTACTTCCTTAATATTACTATTAGATAGTGTTAAGGGAGGAGAAGGTATATATATATATATACTAAAAGAAATAATAGTAAAAAAAGGTATTACTACTATATCTATTAGTATAATTACTTAGAAGGTAACTTTATATAGGATTTTAAATAGAGATCCTTACCCTTATAGATAATTAACGCCTAGAATATATTAGGAACATATTAGGAATAGGTTATAATATGCCTACTACACTTCTTTATCTAGCTTAACTATAGCTTAACTATAGAATATAAAGCAGGACTACTAGAAAGATTTAATATCTCTCTAGTTAGAAGACCTTATAGATATATAGAGTCTACCTCTAGTAGTACCTAACTAAAATAATATTTTTTCCTAGTAGTAGATATTAGGCTATAGTTCTAATAGCTAATATATAGTTAAGCCTATTCTATAATTTACTAACTTATTATTAATATATTTTAAATATGTTTAAGTTTCCCTCCCTACCTAATTTACTATAGTCCTTATTATAAGATAATAAGACACCTAGTAGTCCTTATAAATCCTTAAAGAGAAGTGCTTAATAAGGCTATAATAATAGCTTCTTATTTATAGTTCTCTTTATAGAATTTTCTTAGGTACTATACTTTTTAAGGTTTAGATCTAATTATATAATACGTTATTAATAATATAATAAGAACACATTTATAATATATTCTTAAGATACTTACACGCTTTTACCCTAGAGTATTAGTATTTATACTAGCTTGCTAGCTAGCTATTAAAGAATAGTAAAGTTGTAGGCCTATTAAGATAGATAGACTAGCAGGAGTATTATACCTGCTAGAATTAGAATAATTTAAGAACGTGTTCTTAACGTGTTACCTATATAGCCTGTATAAGCACCTCTTCTCTTATTAGGTAAGAGCTATCTTTATATTACTAAACTAGTATTATATACCTATACCCTTAGCTATATAATTAAGGGTATACTAGGAGAATAGCTATATACTTAATAATTACTAGTATAAGTAGTAGTCCTTAACTATTACTATAAGTAAGGTATATATTGTGCCCCTATAATATATTACTAACCTATTCTAAACTTGTTCTATTTACTTTTACTTACTTCCTTAATACTACTACTACTATCCTCCTCTAGCACTTTATATAGTTACCTAAATTTATCTCTAATATTACTATCTAGTTTAGATATATTATCTAGTACTACTATACTAAACTCTAGTATAGTATTTAGGAACACCTATATATTATTAAGAATAGGTTTAGAATATATTTAAAAAAGATAGTAATAAAAACTATATTTACTTGCTTAAATTACCCTAATTTATACTTAACTATAGGCTAGTTTATATAACTATAAAAATTTGCCGCTATAACGTAGACTTGAACCTACAGGGATATTCTAACCACTTGGAGTAAAGCCTAAGTCGCCCGACGCTAAACCCATGGTCATATGACATGCCACCACCTCCTAGATGTCAAAGACTTGTACAAGTATTTCTATGCTAAAAAAAATGTCTAATTTTTTCCCTTGGACCTGGTAATAGTAATTTCTCACATCCCAAGTCCACTCTAGGCTACACCTTCAACTCGAGTGCACACCCCGATATCTTTCCATCCCAGCAGACATATTCACAAAGCAACTCACCACATAAAAACTCACATCTCACAATCCCAAAAGGCGCATTTGCAACCGTAGGCAGGCATCAATGGCAAGTCGTATTACTTCCCGCACTACACCGCTATATGCAAAAATCTTACAACATCTCAGTAACGCCTTCCAATGCCCGTTCTCGTGTGGAAAAACAAAACAGATCCGAGAGCATTTGCCTGGAGCAAAGATGCTGTACTACTACTATCGGCTTCCAGCTTTCCTTAATCGCCGCCCTGGCCCCTTTTCCGTGTATTGGTATGTCGCCTGAGCTCAAGCTTTGTACACTTTCGCACCAATTTCCTCTTATCCTCGTGCAAATGTGAAGGGCCGATTAGATCGAGCCCGCCAATGCACTCGCAGTAGGCTTGCATGATCGTCCAATGTCCAGCACTTGACCCCATGTCTTGTGCAACAATCATTGGGAGCCATCTGTCGAAACTTTTCTCTTTTCGGCCTTTCAGAATACGCCGTAGATTTAATCCTTCCAGTCCCAGACTTGTTTGAGAAAGTGTGCCATGTTGACCTTTTTCGACTTCATTTCGACCATCCAAGGGTGTTCAAGCATGCGCCATGGCGTCGCTCTTCGCGGACACTCCTTCTCCAGACTATAGCAGGTTAGCGGTGAGATTGGCAAAACGAATGATCGGCACATACCAGCACTCGATGAAATACTTGAAGTTCTCCGTCCATTTGATGCCATTTTCAGGCTCATCTTTGAGCTTCGGTATCGGTTGGCGAACGATATAAGTGAGCAGGTCGATGAGACCAGCGCGTGGGTTCATTTCCGTTCCATCGGCCGGAAAGGGAAATCGGTGTTGGGCAACCTCGAGCAGAGTTACGCCCAAGCTCCACACATCACTAGTGATGGTGTAGCTTTGTCCGGTGATGCGTTCGGGCGCCATGTAGTACGAGGTGCCGATGAAGGTGTTGGCATCCCCCTTTGTGCCGAACTCTCCAGACACACCAAAATCACACAGCTTGACCTGGCCGTTCCGACAAAGCAAAATGTTGCTTGGCTTGATATCCCGGTGGATGATGCGGTGGGAATGTAGGTAGGTCAGACCGTTCAAGACGCCCTCTGCTACCTTGCCAAGTACCTTCTCGCCAGTGCGACCACCAAGCTTCTTGACCTCACGATAGACTGCGTCCAAAGAGCCGCCTTCGCAAAACTCCATGGCGATGCTGATGGTCCCGGTACTATCATCCATGAAGGCTCCATAGTATCGGCAAATATGGTCACTAGCACAATTCTTGTTAAAGGACAGCTCGCGCACAATCTGCTTCTTGACGTCCGGGTCGGGATTGGTCGTGATGATCTTCAAGTCTGGGTCAGTCTGCAGTCCAACGAGATAGCGCGGACACATACCTTGAGTGCAAACGTAGTCTTTCCGCCCTTCAATATGCACTTTGTCACTGCACCACCCGCACCTTCGCCCAGACTACCCTTTTCCTCTATCATCCCCCTTGCGCTGGCCGCTCTCCAGCCAGCATCGTCTAGATCATCGACTTCCAACGGGCGGCCCTTTTCCGTGGCCAAGGCATCTAGATCTGGTATAGGCTGGCTACTGTTCTCCCGCTCCATGGACGACCCGCCTTCGCTGCCAGCCAACGAGATGGCTGATGCGGGATCTTTGACGGGCTGTAGTGAAGGAAAGCCCAACTGGCCGTAAGAAGATGTGGCCGAGCCATTTGCCTGCATGTCTCCAAAGCTCCCTGATCTTGAGCGTGCGCTTGCATCACTTGAGCCTGCCGACAACCTGGTTCCAATCTGCAGGGGAGGGAGGTTCGGCCTGCCGTCTTGTGGTGTCCTGTGAGAGCCCATGGGTGTCGCGAGGGTGAGTGCGGGCGGCATTTGCGGGCGGCCCAGAGTCGGTATACCGGCATTCGCGCCGCCATTGGTCACCGGCCGTGCATTGGGCGACGCAGGTATCGAGAGGCCAAGTCGTGGTGGGCCTCGTTGGCCTCCAGGACGGGCACCTGGAATGGGAGGTCGAAGGAGGGGTGCGGGGGCCGACATATTGGCCTCTTGTGGTGGCGAAGACGCGGTCTGTATGGGCTGCATCTACCAGACGTCGCTACACTACGAGTACTGTGCCGTGTCCTGAGGAGGCGGAGGAGGAGAAGAAGAAGAAGGAGGAGGAGGGAGGAACAAGCAAGCGCAGCTCTGGTATGACGACTACAGTGTAGAGGTCGAGACTGGCAGAGAGTGCCCGTTGATGGCTCGATGGGGCGGGGGTAGCACGCGACAGAGTGGTGGCAAAGTGCAACCCAGGGTCGAGGCCCGAAGCTTGTGTGCTGGTAGTTGTGGAGGAACGAGGGGTCGTGTGTGGGGGAGAGAGGAGGGGGCGTGTCGCTTCGATGTCGCACGTCGCACGTCGAACGTCGAAGATGGTTGGGCGCCAATCAATGCAATGGACCTGCGGCCGTCAACCAGGCGACGTCGACCAGCTCTTGGAGCCGAAGCAGATGTCCGCCCGTATCCAGCGGAGAGTGGCGGGAGGGCAGGACAGGTGCAGCGCTGGCGGCGAGATGCAAGGACGACGATATCGTCGAGTGGTGTCGAGGCGACTACGAATGACGTTGGGAGGGGGGCCACGAGTCACAGGCAGCAGCTGTGCGGACCGACAGGGCAGAGGGCTCGCGAGAGGTGTGGTATGCGTGCGGGAAGCGGGAAGCGGGAAGCGAGCGCTGTCGGGGGATTTTTGATAGCACCTGAGCAGACAGGACAAGAGAAGAGAAGAGAAGAGAAGACAAGGCAGACAGGCAGGCAGGAAGACAGACGACGACGAAGACGACGACAACACCAACAATCAACGGGCGCTGGCTGCTGTGGCGCGGGCTGAGAGGCGGCGGGGGAGGCTTGTAGGGCGTTTCAGGACTCGGGCAGCGGGCAGCGGCGGGCAGCGGGGGGGTGTGAGAGAGAGAGAGTGTGTGTGTGTGTGTGTGTGTGTGTATGTCTGTATGTGTGAATACTGGACAGCAATCGAAAGAATACAAAAGTTTCTCAGGGCCGTGGCCAATGGACAGCCAAACGAGTGTGTGGTGGTGGTGTTGGGGAGGACAAGGTCAGGGCCTGCGAGGAAGAAGAGGCACGCGTGGATGGGATGCCGAATCAATGCGGCATACTATATCCAACTTCAGGGGAGGGAAAAGGGCAGTGGATGAATGCTTGCACCACAAGCGCTGAGCTGCCCGTCTTTATGGGCGGCAGCCAAACTCTGTTTCAAGGTGGAACCGGCAAGCATCGAGCATGTGCTGGTGGTGTCTGCGTCTACTGTGACTACCGGTACAGCCAACTGTACAGCCGCCGGCCATGCTCGACTCACACAAATGTCCATCCTCATCGCCTTCTCTCGTTCTTGCTCTCTCTCTCTCTCACACACCCACAATAGGTACACACAGACACCCTGCACTCTCCAACCCTAGTCATCCTTCCCCCGATCTTCCGTGCACCCTGACCAAAGCGTCGTCTCTCCAGAATTCGGTCTGACCGGGGCTTGCACATGTCACTTGGGGTTGGGAAATCGGGACGGATCCTATCCCTGGACGCACGCGACGGCGTGAGGCTGGCCAATCGAGCGACACTCTCAGGACGTGGAGCGGACAGACTTGTACATGATTTCATGGTAGCATGGCTGACGTTGGACCAGACTGCTGGTTTCCTCTGGATTTGCATTGCAGATGCATCCTGCCTGTCCTTTCATCGCTGTCACCGACCCGACGACCACCCAGGCCTGAACCACGTCCGTTCACTCCGTTCCCCCTCCGCCCTACTGTCGCCGCTCTTTTCCTCTTCTGTTCTAGACGGCTGGCCCAGTCCCCAAAACAGCCAAGGCACCAAAAGACTGCGCTTGTTCCTGTTCCTGATCCTGTTGCTGCCATGTTGTGCGCTGCCCTGCATAAAGAGCATCTCAGCCTACAGTCGTGTACCGGTATTGCACGAATGCGCCGTGTGACTAGGAGCAGCAGAGGAACAACAGCCGAAGCGCTTGCCCACACGTCAAGCCACCCACTGACCACTGTCTTTGTGCGCACCTTGCGCGAGACTCATGGCATCCATGAGGATGCGTGCAAAGAAGCTTCGGCGCTTATGGTGGCTGTGGGAGCCAATCACATGACAAGCTCCTACGCACCAACAATCCTACGGGGACGGAGCCATCCAAGCTCTACCGGTAACCTTGGGCATGCACGCGCTGCCATTATTAGCAACGGGATGCACCGTCTCTGTGAATCCATCATCCCCCATACCCTTTTGAACTGCATCTTCTTTACAAGGCAAGGGTATGCACATAGTATTGTACAGATTGTAGATGCCCTACACTCCCCTCTCCGTCCGAACTAGTCTTGTATATCAATCGTCATGATCCACACGCACACGCACACGCACACTTGGGCCGCTATGGTAAGCCACCGCTACCTCGACCACGCCATCAATGCACGACTCCATTCTCCCCATCGCCCCCGGTACTACCACACCGACGCACCGAACACTACGACCCCAAGAATAAAAATATCCCTATAATCCGTCATCTGTATAACGCACAGGTCGCATACAGTACATCCACACTTGCCCTACCCGTCCCCAGTCCCCAGTCTCCCATAAATAGATGCCGTTTTGTACCCATTGGCACGAAAAAAGACCCAAATGTAGGTCTGGTACCGTAGCTATGCTCTGTGCTCTGCTGCTCATGCTCATGCTCGTGCTCGTGCTCGTGCTCGTGCTCACGCTTTGTTTCCAACCCATCCCTCGCCCGAGCTATCTTCAGAAACAAAAACATCTGCCGGTGCCAGAGTGTTGGATTTCAACCAAAGGTGGCATGCATGCCTATGCTTACTATAGGCACGCTCCTTGCCCGCCGCCTACGTAACGCGCCGTCTACACAACTCGTACACACACAGAGCTAAAAGACCTGCATCTGGTAAGCAGAGAAGTGGAAACAAATGCGATCCGCTCGGGAATCAATCTGTCCTCTTTGTTGAAAAACAAAAAAACAAATTCCCCCACCGTCTGCGTAGCGCTAGATATACATGTCTTTTACTAGAATATACCCCATGCTTCTAGCCTACCAATTCATTCATCCCTCCCCTCCTTCCTCTCCCCCCTCTTCCCCTCCCCCCTCTTCCTCTCCCCCTCATCCACAATTTCATGCCCATCCTCGCCCTGCCCTGCTTCTGCACCACTGCTACTAGCTTGCCCCCGTGCATCCGCCTCCCGCTGCCGTCTCACCTCGAGTTTGCGCGGTTTTCTGGCACTCAGGGGACCGTCGGGACTGCGGTCTTTCCACTGCTTGTAGGTTAGTATTTACTTTACACTAGGCTTTATGGATTGATGTCCTCGGTGCGGTTGAGATGATCGGAGTTTGTCTTTTCCTCCTTTACAACTCTTCCTCCTCGTTTTCTTCCTTCTCCTATTCCCCCAATCCATCCA